TGGGCCTGGGGCAAGCGCTCTGCCCCAGGCATGTGGCTCTTCTAAGTGGACTGTACTCCTTTCTGACTCTAGACCTCAGCATCCCTTTCTGCAGAGGAAAAGGGCAAGAAGACCAAGAAGAAAACAAGGCGGCGCAGAGCCAAGGGGGAAGGAAAGAGGCGGTCTGAGGACGAGTGCTTCCGCTGTGGTGACGGTGGCCAACTGGTGCTGTGTGACCGCAAGCTGTGCACCAAGGCTTATCACCTGGGCTGCTTGGGCCTGGGCAAGCGGCCCTTCGGTAGGTGCCCATCCAGGGATGCTGCTCTCACTGGACCTCTTCTCTGCTGAATGGGCCTTGTCTGTCCAGTAATAGGTTGGTCATTTGGGTGGTGACTGTCTCGGTCCAGAGGTCCTGCCAGAGCCCCACAGGGAAGTCCTGGAGCCCACCTGGGAGTGGTGCCCTCCCTTGTGTGTGCCAAGAGTCCACTGCAGCAGCCTCAGCTCCTCTGGCCTCCTGAGTTGTACGGCATCCTTGCCCTGGCTGCACCACACCTTAGTCCCTACCAGGATGTGCGGGGACACTCCCCAGTGACCCGGTGCACCAGGAGGAGCTGCTGGGAGTGCATGGACCACATGGTCATTTGGAGGAAGATGAAGTGGGCCTGTCTCCTGCCACCCCTGCTATTTCAAAGCGAGTGCCAGCATCAGGGTGAAACTGCTGTGGTTTCAGAAGAGATTAAGAGACCCTCTTGCACCTGAGGGACAAAGAGAGAGAGAAATATTTGCAGTGGATGTGATAGCTACCCTTAATCTAAAGTCCTTTTCAGTTTAATACCAGAAAGGCCAGTGTCCGGGCAGAAGATGCCCTTTGAACAGGCAGCTGCAGAGCAGGGAGGGCGCAGGGTGGGAGACCAGGCAGGGCTCACCGCAGGGAGCTGCCTCCTGGTCCACTGGTGGCCCCCATGCTCCAGGCCCTGGTACGCGTAGTAGCAGCCTTTCTTTGGCAGTTGGACAAAAACAGTGTCCTGTGCTAACTTGCATGCATTTGACTGGACAGTTTTGTTTTTAATATTTTAAGTTGTTGGTAGACCTTTGTTTTATTCATTTACTTATATGTGGTGCTGAGAATACAACCCAGTGCCTCACACATGTGAGACAAGTGCTCTCCCACTGAGCCCCAGCCCCAGCCCCTTGACTGRACAGCTTTAGAAATCCTTTCAGCCTGGATTTGATGGTACACACCTGTGATCCCCACTACTTGAGAGGCGGAGGCAGGAGCTCCCGATCCATCGCGAGTTTGAGGCCATCACGGGCAACTTATTTCTCTTGTAAGAAAAGTAAGGGGGCTCAGTGGTGGAGCACATGCATGAGCCTCTGGGCTCAGACCCACGTACGTGAGCCCTGAAGACCTGGTGTGCGGCTGTCCCTCCTGTTGCTGACTCTGTGCTTTGTTGCAGGGAAGTGGGAGTGCCCCTGGCATCACTGTGACGTGTGTGGCAAGCCTTCTACCTCGTTCTGCCACTTCTGCCCCAATTCTTTCTGTAAGGAGCACCAGGACGGGACAGCCTTCCGCTCCACCCCGGATGGGCGGCCCTACTGCTGTGAGCATGACTTGGGGGCAGAGTCGGGCAGGAGTGCCGAGACTGAGAAACACTTTCCAGAGCCCACCAAGTCCAAGGGGAAGAGGAGGAAAAGGAGGTGTTGGCGGAGGGTCACGGAAGGCAAATAGCGCCAGGTGGCGGCATGGTCCAATCCAGGGGTGGCGTGGGGCGGCCAGCCCTGCCTGCAGGGAGGGCGAGCATGGCAGCGCCCTGGGACCCAGCTGGCAGCCGCCACAACAGACGTCCAGGCCTCCTAGGGAGGGAGTGCCTCCCCACTGAGCCACCCGCAGCTGTGCTGTCTGCACTGACAACCTCCCAGCCGTGAGCTGGACAGTCGGACAAGCCAGCCTGGGCCAGAGCGCCAGGCCACTGAGGCCCTGCGGACATCCGTGCTCCCTCCCAGGCTCTGTTAGGCTGAAGTTGCTATTGAAGATTAATGGGTGTGTGAAATGTCTTTATCTCACCAGAAGCGTGTAGAGTAGTGTTTTCTGCAGGGTCCCTGCTCCGCCCCACGCCGCTCGGCTTCTGCACAGCGCTGCCACCACTCAGGAGACGGGACTCAGGCCCTGGTTCCCACAGACCATGGTTCTGATCATTTTGCTCTTTGGAAACAGCTTTTTTTTTTTTTTGTACTAATGTGAATTTTTCCTTGGAATGCTTCCTTCCTTCCCATCCTGGTGACAGGCTGGCCCCCTGGAGCGTGGAAGTGGTGGTGTGTTGCAAGCTCTCCTGCCATCGTCTCTCTGTGGGTTTGAACCCAGTGCTGGTAACACACCTGCCGTGGATGTGCCGGTCACAAGGAGTGGCCTGTGTTCATAGTGGGCCACTTCTCCTTTGGGTCTTTCTGAACACACTAGGTTCTAACCCACATTTGAGGGGAAAACTTTGTATATTTTTTTTCATTTGGATTTTTCTTTTTAATCTGGCTTTTATTCTCAATATATTCTTGCTAAACCTGTTTCACAAACCACCACCAAATGAAACGTGTGCTCACTGATGCGACCCTGAGTTCTCTTTCAGAAACAATGCATTCAGGGCGTGTGCCAGACTGCTGAGGGCATGGGGCTGCAGCAGGACTCCGTGGCTGGAGTGAGCCTTCCCTTTACTCTGTGGGCTCACTAGCCACACTCCTCTCGCACGCTCTCCAAGGGCACCACAAGCAGCAGCACATGGTCTCCGGTGGTCAAGCCTGGAGATAAAATTGGCTCTTAATTATTGAAAGACCCACAGAGAGAGCTGAGGAGTACTAAGTTGTCTCTGGAAGACCTGGTCCTTCCTTCCTGGGGGTGCCTCTTGTTTGTCCTGGGGAGCATGGAGCACCATGAGAAAGGGGGAACCTGCAGGCATCCTGCAGGAGGGGGCGTGCACGGGTGGCAGGTACTGCTTTCTGTAGAGGTCTTGCCTGCAGCTGTCCTACTGCCCTGTTGGACCCAGGACTGGCTGCTCTCCAGGGCTATGGCTGCACTCGGGCACCAGGTGTATGGGCCTGTTGGCCCAGCACCACCCAGTGGGAGGAAGTTTGCTGACTGGCAGCCATCCCTTTGCTTTTCTCTAATCATGGTCCCCAAAAGTAACCTTATGAAGGACCAAAAGAACAAGCAGCTCTACAGTGGGCCGTGGCTCCCACATGAGCAGGTCCGCCAGACAGGCCTTGGGGGTTCCACTTAGGGCCTAACTCCACTCAAACTGTCCTCAGAAAATGCTGGATTTGGTTCACAGATTTTCTGCTCCTTATGCCTTGAATTTGGAAGGCTATTCGGTGACAGGCCAGGTAGCATCCCCATATGCACATGGCCCCAGCCTTTGGAGCACAAGGCCCGAGGCTCCTCAGATGGGTGCCCACCAGTGTTGTCACTTGTCCAAAAGATACCTTCCTACCAGCCGAGCGAACATGAGAAGTGGTTTTGCAATGCACTTTGGGGAACAGATTAACTTATTTTTATATTGGCAGTAAAGTTTTATGATTTTTAAGTCACTTTGATATCTCCAAATTAAACTCAAGCTTCCTAAAGGAAATGCTACAAAAATGTTAAATGATTCCCCTTTTCAAAAACAATGAGCAAATAACACTAACTTTGAGAATCTCTATTAGATCAGTTCATAAATCTGAGTAAAACAGGGCCTTGGGATAGTGGCCAGGCATGTAGCCATGACTGGTGCTCCAACCTGCCCGAGTTCGTTCTGAGTCTGGGGGAGGATTTGCTTTTGAGGATTTGATGGCTTCCCAGACATCAGCTTCAGTTCTTTCTTGTTAATGTGAAGTACAACATGGAAATCAGCCAGATGCCCCAGTATTCTTGGCATCAGGAGTCAGCCTCGACCTGCCCTGTGCACACCCCCATGCATAGGCAGCTCACATGTGCAAACCTGGTGCCTGCCCATGCCAGCACTGGCCTGTGAGGACAAGGGTGCCCCACCATTGTGTGGTCACTTGTGGGGAAGTGTGTCTTGCATGAAAAAGTAGTGAGGATCCAGCTGTCCATCCTTGGGGACAGCCCTCCTTTTCCCCGTGATGCCTCCCGGGCCTCCGTGGGTCCCGGGGCGCACACAGGTTGGTGCTCTTGAGGCCTCTGAGATGTTTTATCATGACACCTGAGCCATGATGTGTACAGTGCCCGTATTTTAGAACCACCTTATTTTCAAGGATTCAAGAAACGTGTCGTCTTAATTAAAGTACACAAACAGTTGTCAGTTGCAAGTATTTTCATCTGTGAGAGGTGTAGCTGGTGACTTGGTGGAGTAAGAGCACTGTCTGTTGGCGTCATGGTGCCACTGTGGCCTGTCGAGCCCTGAGATGCCGCGTCAGAATGAACCAACCCTCAGTGAAGTGTGCCTGTCGGTGTCTGAGCTTCACGCAGGTGCAGGTTCCTTCTAGGAACACTGGGTGCTATCACCAGGTTTGATAGTTAGACTTTAAAACTTGAAATTTTGGGGGGAATATACTGAAATATAGATTTGAGAATTGCCAGTTGGGGAAAAATAGCATTTAAAGTGGAAAGTTGTGTTTGGAAAATTGTGTATGAGTATTTTTGTATTAAAAAAATTTCAAAGGCCCTCTCCTCACTTATTTGCTGTGGGACTGTGTTGACTTTCCATCTCCCGCTGCTCTGGGTTCCCAGTCCCGCCCAGGGAGGCTCCTACCTCCCCCTCTGCCTGGCGGTGGAACCCTGGGAAATAGGGAACACCGGACGTTGGAGAGGGGATTATGATTTTGGGGGAGGAAAAAAAAGTTTCCTTCTTTCAAAAATAATTTGGTCCCAAGTCCCAGTCAAGGTGAAAAGGTCTGAGGCAGTCTGTTCCTCTCCCGGCCGGCCCTGCAGCTGGGCAGTCCCAGGGCCCTCTGCTTTCCCAGTAGGGCCTGTGACCACAGCCCTTGCCATTGGTGTGACCCTCATGCTGACACCCACCTTCCTGCSTGGAGGAGCAGGTCCCCGGAGCAGGGAGATCAGGCCTGAAACAGAGCTCTGTGGGCCTCCTTTAGAAAAGCTGGACTTTAATCACTCAAAGTCTTACAATGAAAATAGGGACCCCAAGACTTGTCGTTAAGTATCCACAGCTATACAAAAGACATACAAAACTCCCGGGCAGATGCTGACAGGAGGCGAGGCCCACTGCCTCCTCTGGCATTGCCCGGGCAGTGCCGCCACCCTGCAGCATTGCCAGGTACCACCTTTGGTCCCTCAACCTTGCGGAACAGGGTGCACTAGCAGGGAAAAGCTCTCACACTCAGTTATTAGAATATAAGAAAAAATAAAAAAGGTAAAAGTCTAACAGGCACTAAAATTGGGATGTTATAACGTTTTTGGTTAACTAGAACATTCAAAACTGTAATATTGGATCCAGAAAAGTATCTTAAATCACACAAAAAAAGTAACCCATATTAAAATATAAAAAATAAGCCCCAAACACCGGAGAAAAGACCTAAAACTTGAGTAAGCTGGGGGCTCCACAACACTGTGGGCAGCCAGGCACAGGCAGGGCCTCAGCCTGCCAGCATCAACCCCTGGCTGCTCTGCCAAGCCCTTGTCCCTCAGAGCCCTACGTAGCCAGGGCCAGCAGCAGAGGCAGGTGATCCTCAGGATACGTTGGTCATGGGCTTGTACTTCTTGAAGCGTGTCCACTGGCCTGTGGCGTAGTTCATCTCGAACACAGTGTCCACCAGCATGGTGGTGCTGCCCTGGCCATCAGCCTTGGGCAGGTCCTCTGTGTGCTCGCTCAGCTTGATCTGGATCACGTCCCCTTGCTCCTGGCACGGGTTCTCTGTGGAGGGCAGGGGCTGCTGGGCAGGGGCCTGGGGCTAAGGAGCCCATCCCCACCCCAGTCAGGGCACCACCCAGGCCCAGCCCCATACACACCTCTGGAACCAGCCATGAAGCCCAGGATGAGGGCTTTCTCGGGCCGTGTGACCTTGTTGGCTGTCTTGAACATTTCCTGGGCAGCAAACATCTGCTCTCTCTGTGGGCAAGAGGAGGATTTGGGTGCCCAGGCCTCCCTGGGTCATCTCCCACCCCAGGTGCAGATGGGCAAGACCATACCAACTACCTGGCAGCCCACAGGTCCTGCCAGGACCCACCTACCGTGAGGGACAACTTCTTAGGCTGTTGCTGGGCAGGGGGCTGGGTCTGGGGGACCACCATTGCCACTGGGGGCGTCTGAGCGGCTGGGGCAACAGCTGGGGGTGTGGTGGGCGTCAGGGGTGATGTGGGTGCTGCAGGTGTAGGTGCAGCAGGGCTCAGGTTGCTGTTGTACATGGGTGCCCTCTGCTTAAACTGTGCCGGCAGTGTGGGGTTCGGGGTGCTGGGCTCCTCAGGTGGCCGGCTGGCCTGCAGGCTGGTTTCCCGGGAAGATGGTGCTAGGGTAAAGTAGGACCTGGTGAGGGAGGCTGGGACTAGGCCCCCCACCTCCCCCTCCGCACCGGACCTGTGCCCAGCCCCCATTCTCCAAGCCACCTGCCCCAGACCCCACCCTCCATTTCTCAGGCCCTGACCAGCTGGCACCCCAAACCCACCTGCTCTGTCCTTCTCCTGCAGGACAAACAGCCCTCCCTGGCATAAACCCTGCATGCCCCACCAAAAGGGGCAGAACCTGCAGTCCCAAGCACTTTCAAATCCTCACAAGTGGCCTGGGGTCATGAGGTGCTGGCAACAAGACACAGGCTGCCAGGCCTGAGGCCTTTCTGCATCGCAGCACAACCAAAGCCTGAATCAGGTGAATGGTCCATCTCCAGCTTCCCACAGATCTCCAGAAACTTGGGGGCTAAGGGTCTGTCCCCGGGCCCTCAGCCCCTCCTGCCCCTGGAGCACAGCCAGGGGACAGGGGACAGCAGACAGTGGCTACCTGTCTGCAGGGGGTTTATTTCTTGGCAAGGAAGGGCTCCCCCACCCCCAGCCAGCAGAAGCTAAAGGACGACAGAACGGATGTCCTGATAATCAAGAAACAGCACTGTGGGCCCCTGCAGCACCACGTGGGCAAGGCCACCTTCCAGGTGGAACGCTGGCTCCAGGTGGCAGGAGGAGCCCTTACAGCCCCAGGAGCAGCACACTGCAGTCACTCACCTGGGGGAGCCTCGGAGCTGGGGACGTAGGAGGAGGCTGGGACCACACTGGGTGTGGAGGGCAGGTAACTTGTGGAGGGCAGTGCAGGCTCGCTGTTCAGAGACCCAAGTTTCTGGAAGACAGTGAGGGTCCCTCAGCACAGGCCTGGGTTTCAGAGCAGCCCTCTCTGGCTTGGCCTGGACCTGCACTGTACATCACCCGACCCGCTTAACAGGTGTCACAAGCCTCAGGGCAGAGCTGCTCCAGGCTGGCCCAAACCTCAGCCCCGCCACCCTCCCTGGTTCCTGGAACCCCCTCGGCAGAGGAGGGGCCGAGCAGCTCCCACTTGGGAGGCCACGAACCACCATCTCTGGAGAGGAGCAACAACTGCCTGCAGTGCGTGGGCACTGTAGGGAAATGTGCCAGGCTCAGCTGACCCACAGACAGCCTGGACAGCAGGAAAAGGCCCTCTTCCCAAGGATGACCACACACCAGCCTCCCCCACCTTGTACCTCTTAGGCCACACTACTCCAGACTCAGGGTGATATGCCCCACTCACCCCTGGCAGGACCCTTACTGAGGCACAGCAGTGAGGACGTCCCCAGGCAGCAGTGTCTCCAGGAGTATGTGGCAGGTGCTCATTCCAAACTTGAGCTGATGGCTAGATTAGGGTCCTAGCCCAGGCCACCCCTCGTGTGTGCGCGCACATACACATATACACACACGCTCGGTCACTTTTTCCAACCTTCAGAACGAGAGCGCCCTGCGGGCTGTGTCTGGGTGGGGCAGCAGAGCCCTACCTGTGTGGACACCAGGCCGGCTGCGTAGTCAGGGGTGGCGTTCTCCACCACTGTCTCCTCCTTGGCCGGCTTTTCYACCACCTCTGTGTCTGTGGAGAAGCCAGAGGTGCTGTGAGGTGCTCTGAGGCCTCAGCTGGCTCAGAGGGGCAGGAGCACTGGTGCCGGAAGGGACAGGGAGAGCTGAGGGCAGGTCTGGGCCTCCCTCCCAGCCCCGGGGGAAGCCCATACACACCCAGGGTCTTCCTTCTCCTCTTCGCCTCTCGGCCAGCACCGACCATGTCCAGCTCAGAAATGTCAAGGAGCTGCCAAGACAAACAGCCCCAGGCTCGCCCACAGCCTGTGGGAGGGGCTGCCTGGGGCGCTGGGGAGTGGGAGCAGGCCTACCTTCACACCCCTCTCTTTCCGTAGTGGGGTCCTGGAAGGTGGGATGGGGGTCCGGTTTCCGGCAGGGCTGAAGACACTGGGCGTGGTGGGGCTTCTGAAGGGTGCCTGTTTCGGGATGCCTTTGAGTGGGGCTGGGGAGAAGACCGTGTCTGTCAGTGGCCAGCAGGGATGTCCACAGGAGCCCCGGCATCCTCTGCCCACAAGAGAAGAGCTGCCTTGGGAGGACCTCGGGGAGGACCTGGGGACGACCTCGTCCCTGCCACTCTCCGTGTGTTCTGCTGAGGCTGTTCCTGCCAGTATTGCTGTGGGGAGCAGGTGTTTAGCTCAGACCCCACTGGCCCAGTGTCCTGTCATGTGCTCCTGCTGTGAGCCCAGAAGGGCTGGAATGAGGGGAGAGGACAGCTGGCCAGGTCAGTTGGGACCCCAGGTCTGCAAAGCAAGGGCTGCCTGGGGACATTAAGCTACCCCAGAAAAACAGCAACGCCTCGACCTCTGCCAGGTCACCAACCCTCCTGTCTTCGAGGTGGAATGCTGGCCTCCGCTTCCTTCTTGTGCCCTTTAGTGAACAGGGCCACAGTCCACGAGAACCGAGTCCTCCCACACCTGACCAGGCTCTGCACTGCTGAGCCCTGGCAGCTGTCCACCTTTCCTGTTTAGGGTGCCCACCAGGGCTTATTCCGGGCTTGGGGCTGAGAAGTGCCCACTGAGTTGTGCGGTCAGAACACTGGGTCAAGGGTGGAAATGACTGATGGACAACCACGCTCTCCCACCCCGGCAAAACAGGTACAGCCCTGCTCTGGGGGGCTTTGCTAAGGAGACTAGAAGATGGGATCTGCTCAGCAGGGTGGAGCCGCAGCCATGAGAGGGCCAGGCCAGGCCAGGGCCACACTTCTGTAGGAAGGGGCCGCCCCTGCAGCGAGGGAGGCCAGCCGTCACCAAGGATCCTGTGATCATGGACACGTGGTGGGACAAGATCCCGAGGGCAGCCGAGGCCCCTCCCTGCAGCTCCCCAGTGCACAGCAGCCCTCCTGCCCTTCGGCCCCGCGGTCTCCGCTGGAGGTGTGCCAGCCCCTGGAGCTCCAGGGGCAACCCTGGGTTCCTGTCACCAGTACTCCTTCTGGTCACATCCACACCAATCTGTGTGAGTGGGCACACAGATCAGCCTGGGCACAGACGCAGGGCTCCAGCGCAGCAGGGCTGCCCCATGCTATTGAGCACACCCATCCCGCAGTCTGCGGCCCTGTCGTGCCACTACAGTGCTGGCCAGCAGCAACACTGCACTGGACACCACCCCAGAGCATCTCAGGAACGAGGGAGTCTGCCTTCTCCTGTCCTGTCATGTGCTTCTGCAGGGCCAATGTCTCAGTGACTTGCCCCAAAAGGAAGGTCATCACATCTGGCAAGAGCAGATGGGCGGGCGTCTGGCTTACTTGTGGTGTCCATCTTGCGGAGGAGCCCCCGGCCCTTGGCATGGAACGGCACCCCCGCACTCCTCTTCAGCTGCTGTGCTGTCTCGGTGGCTATGCAGAGAAGGTCACCCATCAGTCCTCACAACGACAGGGCCTCTTGCCCACCAAAAGCACACCTCAGAAAACACGAGCCGTGAGAAGGCCGAAGCCCAGTGCAAATACCACAGCCAGGCCTTCTGCCTAGAACTCCCAGGTGAGTGCCCACAGGCCAGGAGGGCCCCCAGAGCACACTCCCCTGGACTCTCCTCAGTGCCTAACAGGACAAAGAACAGGGACTTCCCTGGCTCAGCTAATAATGCTGCAGGGTGACAGGCAGAGTGCCTCGGCTGCCCCTGGCCAGAGCCAAGTTCTGCCACTGACTCCTGGAGGTAAAACCTGAGGGACAAGCAGACCTCTAAGAGTTGCCCACTGGCCAGAGACTCTGCAAGCCCCCAGAACTGGGCTGGCCCTGGGATGCTGCCTCCTCCAAGCAAGAGTCACAGCAGGAGGCAGTGGGAGAACACAGCATTTAGGTCTGTCACTAATGACCCCTCAGCATGAGGCCTCACTGGGATCTGTGGTCGTGGTTGTTTTTTGTACTGGGAATTGAATGCAGGGGTGCTCCTAATCCTCAGTCCTTTCTTAAATCTGTATTTTGAGACAGGGTCTAAGTTGCTTAGGGCCTAAGTTGCTGAGGCTGGCCTTGGACCTGCGCTCCTCCTACCCCAGGCTTCCGAGCGCTGATGTAGGTGTGTGCCCAACACTGGCTGTGGTTTGGTTTTCCAGGTTGTTCTGCTCTTTTTCTGAGACAGCATCAGGCTATGTTGTTCAGGGGGCCTTCTGCCTCAGTCTCCCAGGTGTGTGGACTACCACACGGGGCCCATGCCTGGCGTGAAACCCATGCTTTGCTACTTAACTGGTGCAATCACTCCTCACTGGACCCAGCAAGCACCTTCCACACAACTCCTACAAGGTGAGACAGCAGGCATCTTCAAGGGAAACCGGGAGCACCGAAAGCTGAGGGACAGGCAGCCCACCTGCACTGCTACGTGCGGGAGGCCTGGGCACCCATCACAGATCAGACACCATGACCTGAAAATCCTCAAGTTTCTGACCGGTGCTTTCAGAAGTCTCTGAATAGACAGCCGGGCCCTCGCAGGCAGCAGGGCCTGAAAGCCAGGGCCCGCATATGGTGGCAGGGCCCATGGCAGCACTCACACTTCTGCAGCAGCTCCGCCCGCAGCGTGGCACTCTTGGGCTTCCGCTTTAACTGGAAATGCTTCACAGGTGGGGTGAGGGGCCCGGCGAGCGTGGTCAGGGCGTTCTTGTTCAGGTACTGGCACTCCAGCGGCAGCATGGCAGATGCCTCGCACTCGCCCACTGTGGAGAGCCCCACCCGGTTAGAGGCCCTTTCCCAGGGCACTATGGCAGCCTCTGCTCTGCTTTCAATCCCCCCAGGAGACTGGCTTCCCCTGGATCCAACTCCTGGGTAGTGAACTAAGGTCGTCAAAGTGGGCCAGGCCCCCCACCCAAGGCAGAACCTCAGGGTAACGCTTTAGAAACAGACCCCGTGAGAGAGAGGAAAGGGAATGCTGGCTGCTCTGCTGCAAACCTGGGGGCCCCTGGTCACACAGCCACACCTAGAGGGGCTGTACCCCTTGACCTTGGATTCTGGCCACACATGCTATGCAGTAAGAGGAGTAGCTGTGTAGCTTCTCCAGACTCTCCAGGAGCCCCAGGTCAGTGGCCTCTTGGACACTGCTGAATCCCAGACTTACAAAACTGCCCACACTCATTGCCCGAGTCTACGTGGTCACTGAGGGGTCCAAACTCCAGGAAAAAACTCTTCATGGTAGGGGGACAGGAGTACCTGCTGCCCCCATTGGTTACATAACCACCCTGAGAAAAACATGGTCAGCTCCTAGAATTGGCTGCCCTAGGCTCTTCCAGCTCACAGGAGGACAGCTCCCTCCACCCGCTGAGCACACCCCCTCAGGACGCATGTGCACCTGAGCGGCTCGTGCGCTCACAGGATCTGTGTGGTGTGTGTGCAATTACAAGTCCAGTAGACACCTGAGGTGCCAGAAGCACCAGCACAGCTGGCTGCACAAGTGGCCCCTGCACAGCTGGCCTGGGCAGCATAACAGGCCACCTGTGTCCCCAGCCGCAGTGCTGCCTGCCAGCACAGTCTGCTTCTCAGGGCTGCCAGTTCCCATTTTTCAGAGGAGGAAGAATTCTGAAGGGACAGATGCCCCCTTCACCCACGTTACTTATAACCACCTGCAAACACTCTGCCTTTCTCCTTTTGGTACTGGGGATTGAACCCAAGGACAATCTATCACTGAGCTACACTCCCCAAACCTTCTTATGTTTTATTCTGAGACAGGGTCTCTCTACGTTGTCCAGGCTGGCCTGGAATTTGGAACCCTTTAGCCTTAGCTCCCAAGTCACTGGGATCACAGGCATGCACCTCTGCATCTGGCTTCTGCAAAGACTTTCCAAATAGTTTTCAGTTCACATTCTAACAACAGAATGGTTGGCACATTTGTAAAAAAGCACACTTTTAAACAGCCAAAACCCAGTGCAGAGACCTACAGGCTGTGGTCAGCTGCCAGAGGAACTGGCACAAGGCCAGGCAGCAGCACGTGGGCATGAGGCACATGCAGGTAGTATTCTGGAAACACGTAGCACACAACTGCCTAACAATCCAGTTTCTTCCAGAAAACATTTCTCTCTTCCCAACAGAACACAAGGCCACACTTCATACCCTTTTCTCTAAGTTCTCCTAAAATATCTTGAACATTCGGGTTCTGCTCCTCAAGGTCAAGGTTAAGGGATCCTGTGTCAGGAAAGGACTTCAGAATGTCAGCAACCATGAGGACCCAGGGGTCGGAGTCCAAGGTGGCGAGCTGGATGATCTCCATCAAGGCTTCCTTCATCTGCAGAGGAGAGAAGAGAGAAGCCCAACCGGCTGAGCCCAGCACGCTGCGCACAGGGAGGTGTCTGCACCCCGCCCACTCCACACTCCACTGTGGCCTCTGGGTGAGCACAGGGTAGCCCACCTAGATAGCAATCACCTCACGGCCCATACGTCCTCCTGGGGCTCCCTTGCTCTAGTCCCCTACCCCAACCCAGGGCCACCCCTCTTCCCTGCACGGCCACAGCTTTTATAGGTGGCAGTGGCCCAGCCTGCAGCGCCTCCCCACAGCCTCCCTGACAGCTCCTGGCAGCACCAATTCCCTGGGCCTGTCTCCCCTCTTAGGGCCACCTCCACTGCCACTTAGGAAGTCTGCACAGAGCATCTCAGGTACCGAGAGCTGAACCCAGGCCAGCAACAGGTGCTGAGGTGGGTAGACAGCCAGACCACTCCTTAGGCACAAGGAGGACCTGGCCTGAACAACCGGCTTGCACCTGCTATCCCCGACCACAGTGCCACCCAACTCACCCAGTCCAAGAACATGGACACAGAGACAGATGTACAGGGAGGGAGTGGACACGCAGACACAGGGAAAGATGGCCACATGGCTCAAATGGCTGGTGCACATGTAGGCCCAAAACCTCCACAGCTGCCAGGAGAGAGAGGACGGTCTGTGGCCTGCGGCAATGTGGCCGGCCACCCACTGCTGAACTGCTGTGGTCCTGAGCCACATTTTTACAGCAGCCTCAGGAAGCCAACATCTACCAAGAGAGAAAACTGGACAATGTTTTCTAAAATGGGGGAGGGGTCCAGAAAAAAGGAGATTAAAACCAAAAGGCCACTACTCCAGACTGAATTCCACACCCTCCACACCCCTGGTAAAGTCTGCCTTACAAGATGGCCTGAGAACAGCAGTGTCCTCCCCATTCTGGAGCCAGAGTCCCACGCCCAGGCACCAGATGACTTAGGATCTGCCAAGGATCACTTCCTGGTTCGGTGGTCCCTTCCCACTGTGCCCTCATGTGGTGAGGGGTGAACATTCCCTTAGTCTATTTCCAAAGGGAAATCAATGAGGGCTCCACCCCAACACCCCGCCTTGGGGTAGGATGTGGAAGACACGACCCATGGACAACTGCAAATCCACTGCTGAGGGAACCTGGAAATGGGGCCTCTGTGGGGAGGCAGGTCAGAAGGGGGGCTCTGGCTCATCTGCCGGGGTCTCTCTCCCACTTCCCACAAGGTGAGGGTGCCATCAGACCGAGCCACCTGCAAGCAGGGACCCGGAGCTTGGACTCCCAGCCTCTGGAAGTAAGAGAAATCTATGTCTGTTGATAGCCTGTGAGTCTGCAGCAGAGTTGGCTCTCTTTCCCCTCAGGCTCCACATCCACGGATTCAGCCGACCACAGATGGAAACATTCTTAAGAATAAAAGTTTGTACTACACATATATGGACTTTCTTCTTGCCGTTACTCCCTAATCAGCAAGGTCAGGGAGCCACCGCATCCTGTGATGTGCTCAAAGTCTCCTAGAGACTTGGCACACACAGGAGGAGGGCAATCCTAGATGCAAGTACTGCTCCACTTCACAGAAGGGATTGGAGCCCCTGCCTATGCTCTCTGCAGGGGCTTGTGTCCTGTCCCAGCTACCAAGGGACAAGTGCCTTGTCTGGCAGTGACACTAACACAGCCACCTTCAGAATGAACACCCCCATCAACACACCCTGCCTCAGCCACGCTCTCCCTGTGCTTAACCACATCTGTGCGCTTCCTAAGCACGTGCACTCTACACCAGGGGCTTCAGGACTAGTGATGAGGGGTGGACCGCGTCATGAATAGGAGGATTTCTGGCCCTTGCCAGGAAGGCACTGTGGTGTGCTGCTGGAACGCTCCATGGGTGATGTGCAGGCATGTGCACACACACCGTAAGGAAAGTTCACACCAAATTTGTGGCTGGGGACCCTGAATTCAGGACACAGAGAAAAACAGACACCCAGACTAACAGCACAGAAAAGGGTGGAAGGGTAGACTGACACACCAGAGACCACCTACCAACAGAGCTCCAGGGGATGGAAGGAAAAGAACACATGGGAAGGACAAGTCACAGGGCCAAGGGCACAGCTCAGTGACACAGCAGGGAAGGAGGGGAGCACCCTGCTCAGCAGAGCGCCTGGCAGTCCTCCCAGAGAGGTGCTTGCCCACCACAGGAGCAGACCACCCTCACCCCAGTGTCCACTGGAGACACGAGCAGAGGCGCAGCCAGCAGAGGGCCACCCAGCAATGAAGCCTCCTGGACTTGGCACACACGACTCAGCACAGTGACATGAGAATTGAAGTGGGCCACAGACGGTTCCAGGAAGGGAGACCCATTTGGTAGTGTGCTGTTCAGAGAGGCCTCACTGGACCCTCTAAGAAGAGGCAATACCACAGCCTTGCTGACCAGCTTCTCAGTGGATGAGTGCCAACCGGCGTGTGCTTCCAGGGACGCTGCTGCCTGTGCACGCTGCAGACACACTAGCTCCTGTGCAACTGCAGGAACAGCTGCACCTGCCACAGACTCTGGTGAGCTGGGCAGGCCATTCTACATACTGAACACCCCTGCGGTCACCAGTGCTCCTTCCAAACCAGCTCTGGGGCCACGCTGAGGGTTGGAGGGACTGCTGGTCTCATCCGGTAGCAGCACCTATTTCCTCAAAGCCCTTTCAAACACAGCCTGAACTTCATCCAGGCAGTGCCTGGTCACCTGCAGGAACCCCCCCACCTCCCTTGGCAAGAGCAGTTCCACCCCAGCACACAACAAGGGGCCCCATGTTGCTGCTGTGCCCCTTGCTGAAAGAGCTCCCTCTACTGGCTGAAAGTGGCTGCTCACTAGCTTTTAAGACTAGGGTTGGGGAACAGCTCAGTGGCACAGTATTTGCCTACCATGCGTGAGGCACCGGGTTCGATCCCCAGCGTCACATAAAAAATAAAATAAAGATATTGTGTCCTCCTCTAACTAAAAAATAGATGTTAAAAAAAGTAAAAGTTCTATTACAGTATTTCTTTAAAAAAGAAAAAAAAAGCAGAACAAAATGAAACAAAAAACCCCACAGATACATCACAAAATAAGTGAACTGGTTCCAAGATTTCACTCAGAAACAGGTTATAGTAGATCCTGTGTATATATTTTTTCTTCTGTAGTACTGAGGAGCAAATATAGGGACACTTTACCACTGAGCTACACCCCCAATACTTTTTATTTTGAGTCAGGGATTCACTAAGATGCTGAGGCTGGCCTCCAGTGTGTGATACTCCTGGCTTAGCCTCCCATATCACTAGAATTACACTCATGTGCCAGCCAGATATTCAGGTCAAACATTATCTTGGGTGTGTACGTGAGAATGTTTCTGGATGAGATTAACATTTGGAACAGTACACAGCAAAGTGGATTGCCATCCTGAATGTGGACAAACCTCATCCAATCAGCCGAAGACCTGAATAAAAAGTGAGGGGGGGTGCCAGGTAAAGTGGTAGACACCTGCAGTCCCAGTTACTTGGGAGGCTGTGGCAGGAAGATTGCCTCACTTCAGGAATTCAAAACTAGACTAGGTGACCAAGAGAAATTCCATCTCAAAAACAGGGGGGAAAACAGAATAAGAAAAAAGCTACGTAAGAGGATGTGCCCTTCTACTGGACTGTACAAGGTGGACTTTCCCAGCCTTCAGACCTGGGCCAGAACACGAGCTCTGCCTGGCTCAAGTCCCTGGTGTGCACCAACACCCTGCTGCCTCTGCTTCTCAGAAGAACCCTGACACACTGGGGAACACATCCAGCCAAGTCACTCATCAGCTAGACCTATGGTCCCTTGCAGAAAGGATTCATTTTCAGGGTGATATTCCTAAGGTACCAAACCCTTATAGGACGAGAAAAGGAGGATAGGCTAGACAATGGAACGAGGATAATTCAGAAAGATTTTTTTAATACCAAAAAAAAAAATGGTTTTCAGAAAAATATATTGTTCAGAATGGCTAGTTCTCTCACAATCAAAGTAAATGAGGTCTTCATTATCATTTTTTAAGAATATATTTTAGGGGCTGGGAATGTGTGGCTCAAGCGGTAGCGCGCTCGCCTGGCATGCGTGCGGCCCGGGTTCGATCCTCAGCACCACATACCAACAAAGATGTTGTGTCCGCCAAATACTAAAAAAAAAAWAAATAAATAAATGTTAAAACTCAAAAAAAAGGAATATATTTTAGTTGTTGATGTACCTTTATTTTTTATTTATTTATATGTGGTGCTGAGGATCAAACCTAGTGCCTCATACATGTAGACAAGTGCTCTCACTGAGCCACAATCCCAGTCCCCCATTTCTTTTTTTTTTAAATTTTTTTTTAAAGAGAGAGTTTTTTAGAGAGAGAGAATTTTTAATATTTATTTTTTAGTTATCGGCGAACACAACATCGTTGTTTGCATGTGGTGCTGAGGATCGAACCCGGGCCGCACGCATGCCAGACAAGAGCGCTACAGCTTGAGCCACATCCCCAGCCCCCCCATTTCTTAAACATTGGCGAAATCCAAAAAAGAAGTCTATGTGCATACATACATACATACAAAGAAAGCTGACATGCCTGTCCTAATGCTAGACACAACAGATCTCTGCACACAGACCATGGTTCACTTCACCAAGCAACTCAAACGTTTAACTCTAAACTTGCATGCACCTAATAACATAGCCCCCAAATTCATAAAGCAGTAGCTGATAAGGAGGAACAAACAAATTCATAATCATCATAATGGGGAGATGAACAGATCGTCTCTGAATTTAAAAAAAAAATATTCAGAACAGAGTAGAGCACAATTAAGCAAGTTTGATCTAATGAACATATGTATATTCAGCAAAGGATTTTTTTTTTCAATATTCATTTTTTAGTTTTCGGTGGACACATCTTTGTTTGTATGTGGTGCTGAGGATTGAACCTGGGCCACACGCATGCCAGGCGAGCGTGCCACTGCTTGAGCCACATCCCCAGCCCCAGTGAAGGATTTT